CACAACGAAAAAAATTCTATTTTATTCTTGATTTTGTTTTGTTATGTTGGGTTGGTTGAAAACAAAAGCGATTGTTATGTTTCATAATTAAGTCAAAGGAAAAATTAATTAATTATTTGAATTTATTTCACACGCAATCACACAATTTAAGTATGCTATGATTTAGGTTCAAATTTGGTTCAAATAAATTTCATTGGTTAACAGAACATGGAACTTAAAGTTGGTGAACTGCGGATCAATTATATTGGGCCTGTAGTGGATCAAAGTATTGCAACTGCGAGATTTTGCTTATGCTTTGGAGTTTGAAATTTGGATTAAGGCCTTACCATGCTTGGTGATTTGAAGAGGCATCATTCACGTCTGGTAAGCTAGATTTACCATGCTTAGTGTTTAATTACTGTTCTTGAACCAATGATTGGCTGTGTGTATTGTGCATGGATCTTATGTGATTTGGATGTAAAAAGAGTTTCTTTGTATGAGCGTTGTTTGTCATTAGTTTGCTTTGAGAATGAGGTCTTGGGATTTTTTTTTTTTTCTTGCATAACCATTCGATATCCGAAGTTGAAAGCTGCGATTAATCCAAATTCAAGCACTATGGGACCCCAAAAAGGGTGGCTCTCCCAAGCATATTTTCTTCATTCCCATAGCCTTAGTGATCGAACCCATGAGTTGATAGTTGAGAAAACTCAGACCCCTTACTATCTGAGCCAACATGCATTGATGAGGTTTTGGGAGTTATATTTTAATCTATAGAGTCAGAAATATGGGATGAACCCGCTACCCATTTAAGCATTTTTTTTTTTTTGGCTTTGGGCTTTGAAAACTCAGGTTTTTTTTTATATAAAATGTCTTCTGAGTGCACCCCTTTTAAATCCTAAAAAACAGGTTTAAAAAGCCCATATTTGTTTTAATCCTAAAAAATTATGATATTTTATATATTTAAAATAAATGTAAACATTATTTTAAAATTATTATTTGTATTACCTATTTTGGATTTTTGAAAATTTATTTTTAATTTAAAACATAAATCAATATATAATAATGATAAATTTAATTTCACAAAATATAAAATAAATTAAAAAAAATGAAAAAGGGCTTTCAAGTCTGTCTTTGAGCTGATCAATTAGAGTTAGGCTTGAATGATTGATTTTTGAATAACAGGACTTTTAGGCCTCCGGCCCATATGTGCTGATCCAAAACATTTTAATCTGAGTTTATAGGCTAAGGTTAAAGCACCTTGTTATTGTTATTGTTTTTTGTGTTTGGGCATTGTTTTTATTTGGGCTTGATTATTGGTCCTTCACAGTTGCATGTGTTGAAATGTTTTGCACTTTTGGTTATTTCAAAATACTTCAAATTCCTTATAAATTTTAATGGGATCCATACAACATCCTAGACATGCAGATAGCAGGTTTATTAGGGAACTTTGAAACTGATTTTTTTTTTTATTTACTCTTTGACAGCTCTTTGTGATTAGGAATATTGTAGAGCTCGTGGTGACTTTGGTTGGAGTTTCATGATTTAGTTAATTAGATCATTGCATTGTGTAAGAGAAAGTTTATCATGTATAATTAAATAAGGACTAGTTGATTTTAAAAGAAAATCAAGACACATTAGTACTATTGTCACTATATTTGCAAAGAATTAAAAAAAAAAAGAGTAGGATTTAGTCATCCCATAAAATGAACCCTGATCCTCTAATAACACTTCTATATATTGATCTCTCTTCATTTAGCTTTTTGTTTTTATTTTATCTTTTGCTTCTTTTAATCAACTAATTCCTCGTACCCTTTGACTGAAAATCAATTGGACTAATAAAAATGCTTTTGATAATTTATTATAGCCAGCTTGCATACACTTGCTAGTTGGATCACTTTTGACTAATGTGATACTTTACTAATACAAAAAAGGCCTAACGGAAAGTCTTTCGAATCGCTTATGAAATAAAATGCTCTAAAATATGAAGGCAAAATCTATGGGAGCGCTTCCCTACGCAGCACTTACGCGGCGCTTCCTTATTTGTTGGCTACTATTTTGTGAAGCTGTCTTTATATGAATTTGTGGTATTCATGGAAGTTTGTTGGTTAGTAGTTAATTAAATTGATCGTGAAATGAATGAGTGAAAATATTCCTTTCGTTTTAAATTATAAAATACTTTTAAACTAAATCTCACATACTAATAAATTTCATTAAATACACTTAACAATCTTATCTTTTTAAAATAAAAATATAAACTTTTAAAAATATCCATCATTTAATATATTAAAAAGAAAAGAGACCAACATTAATTATAGAGAGAGGAAGGGTAATATTGAAATTAGTGCATTTAAAAAAAATTAATTTACTCAAAATGTCTTATATTTTGAGACAAAAAAACTCATTTAAAAGTGTCTTATAATTTTGGGATTGAGATAGTATATTTTATTTTATTTTATTTTATGGATTTGTATGTTATTTATATATGTTGTAATCGAGAATGGTTATGTATGATTAATTAAACTTGAATGTTGTACTTGTTAACCAATTGTGATGTAGAATTGTTGTTGTTTTTTTTTTTTTTGGATTTTATATGATTAATTAATAGTTGATTTGGATTTTCTTGGTGAACTACAGATCTAAAGAACGAAAATTTTAAAAGATGAAATATTTGTTTTAATCAATTAATTATCGATATAAAACATATAGAATTATACATTTCTTAATTTATGAAGGGTGCAATTTATTTCTTAAATTTGGTACGATGCATGTAAAAGCATAATTAGTTTAGTGTTGGAACAATCAAGTCCACCACTTGAGCTTTTATATTATTTTCTTTTCTATTCGGTAATTTAAAGACATAATTCTTAATTTAGTCTTTTTTATGAATTCTTAATTTATAGTCTTTTAAGTATTTTTTCCACAACTAAAGTATTCCCTGGTTGTTACTTCAATAATCTGATACAAATTAAATTTCAAAATAATACAAAAACATAGCATCCAAGAGAAGTAACTGCTATTAGTTAAAGGTAAAATAAAATCCTACTTTTGCACCGCAAAAGAAATATTTTTTATTCGAGAAAAATTGTTTGGCTTGGAACTAATTATTGAGAAATTAATCATGGATGAATTAAATTGAAATGAAAAAAAATATAACCTTTAGTTCCTAATTTTGTAATAATTATCAATTTAATTCTTTTATTTTAACTCATAAAAATTTCATTATCGTAGTTTTTTTTCATAAGTATTTTTCTATTAGAGATAATCATGTTCAAAACATTGTTGAGTATTAATGTGGCTATCTCTCCCAGTAGGAATATAAAACTTAATTTACCATGTTATAAGAAACTAGTTTCTTATAATAAACTCAACTTCTGTTAGTTCACTTATTGTAGTTTATTGAGTAATGAAACTGTGGGAACTAAAGTAGTGAAATTGTGGAAACTAACTGTAATGAATTATAAAATTATAATTGTTCTGAATAATGAAACTATAAGAATTAAATTGTTTTGTGTAAAAGTTCTAGAAATTGAATCGATAATATCAAGAAAAAATTATGAACCAAAAGCTATATTTTTCAATTGAAAAACTTTAATTTCTGAAAAATCAAATTGAGAGAAAATTTCTCTTTCAAACATTAAATTACTATTTTACATAAGACAATAAAAAATATAGTGCTTTTGAGATTTTAAATTGAACTCATATCTGAAGCAAGATCTTGAGTGAAAATTTGGGTTGAAATATAGATTAATATAACAAGAGGAATATAACAAAAAACATGATTTTGTGAAATAAAATTTAAGGTCCACTACTATGCTTTTGGATAACAAATTAACATAGAATAATATATATATATATATATATTAAGATAAATTAAATAATGATAAAGATATGATAACTTTTGTATACATCTTAGGTTATGAGTGAAAATAATAATGGAATTTGCCTTGAAATACAGAGAGAACATTAGAGTGAATTAATCTAAAATACAATAAATGTCAAGTTTGAAATAGAGCTGTCAATTAGGGCCAACCAGGCCCTAAAGGGCTGGCCCTTAAAAGGTCAGGCCCTAAACGGGCTGGCCCTAATAAGCCCGATTATATGTCAGGATTTCCAAGGCCCGGCCCTAACCTTCAAGGCCTCGGCCCTAATTTTTTTAAATTATTTTTTCAATTTAAAATTATAAAAAATATATTTATAATCATAAAAAAATTATTATATATAAAATTAAGTTTAAGAAAATAAATTTAAATCAATTTACACTACAACAATAAAAAAAACTAAAATATTTAGGTCTAATATCAAATAACAATATTAAAATTAATACCAATAAAAATTAGACTTAGCTAATAAGCTAAATCTTAATAAATAAACGAGGGATAGATGAATGCTTTTAATCTGTTCATTTTTTTGAGTTATATATTTAATCTTTTACTTTTTTATATCATAATTTAAAAAAAATAATAAAAATATTTAAAAAGGATTACCCTTTTATTTTCGGGCTTAAAAGGGCCCTTTTAAGCCCGAATTATTATATTTCTTTTCAAAATAGCAACCCAACCCTAGTTACTTTTGGACTTAAAAAGATTAGCCCGACAGGCTCAATCCTAATTGAGAGCTCTAGTTTGAAAGCCATATAAATAGTACGTGATTCTAAATAACTTGAAACGTGATGAAGACCATACATTACAATGTTCCTTCTCACTTCAGGACACAACACAAGGGTCCAACAAGTCCTAGCTTCCTTAATTTCTATTGTTCATATATCAGTACATTTTTTTTGGCCAGATTCTCCAGCCCAACGTACATGAATACACGCCATATCAGCATTCTCTGGTCACTATGTTTCAATCAGAATTAATGGTCCAAAAGCAGACATTTGAAAACAGAAATTTCCTTCAAAAGTATCATTGTTCCTTGGAAATACCAAAAGAGCAACAGGAAAACATTAAAATTGAACAATATGACCCAAACCTTGAACCCCCCACATACATTGAATCAAACCGTTTAAAACAAACAAAAAATGAAACAAATCTTTACCAAATGTCATTGCATATACCTAGAAATTTAAAGCAAAGTCTCAGCAAGCCCCACCCAGGGAGTCACAATACATTAGAAAAATTGAGAAAAGATGAGAATTAAAGGACATGTCATTGCATATACATATACACATTACAAAGACCAATTAACTGCGTACTTACTCGATCATATGGAGAAATAGCAGCAAAATTATTAGAATCTCCTTTGAGAGAAGAGGATCCGAGGTTCCTCTCAGCGCAATATATTTGTAAGCAATACATTCCTCAACCTTGACTCAAAAAACTTAAGAGGCTGAAGAGACTAATACTTGCAGCTGACATGATCGCTCCGATCCATATGCTCCTCTCACCTTTCACCCTCTAACAAGTATCTTTTTTTTCTTTTTTTATCTCTTTGATGTAAGTAAACCCAACCCACTTTTGACACAGATTAAGAAAAAGTAATAGTAGTTGTCCAAGCAATTAATAACCAAAAGCCTAATAAGTGACTAGCTCTAAAGCTGAAGAAAAGGACTAAAGGATATGACTTCAAACAAGGTAGAGAGAGATCAGAGAGAGAGAAAACAAAGACGAAAATGATCGATCTGATCGATCTTCTGGTTTATATCATTGTAGATCAGATGAGAGAAGAGACTGAGGACCAATATTGGTTTGATCATTATTCCAAGTAGTAGTACCCACCATAGCTGTTGCTGCGTTCCAATAAAGTGAAGAAGGATCGGACAAGCCTGCTTGATGCTCGATCTGGTTATTATTACTTTGCCAGCAACTCAGAAACCTGTTATCATCTTCCACCACAGATTTCACTTCTTTTAAAGCAAGCATCTCTGATGCCTCAGTACTCGTGCTATTATTGTTGTTATTATTATTGCCTGCTATTGCCAGCTCTTCTAGTACTGGTGCGACGAACCCCTGAAAAGTACTGTTAGAATCACCATTGATGAACTTTTGTTGCTGCAGATTCGGAGAGTTTAGCAGCGAAGCCATGATGCTGGGTGTGGTTGTAGATGTCGAAGAAGAAGCATTTCCAAAGATGGAGGAGCTATAGCTTGAAAGAAGATTAGGATTTGAAGAAAACCCATTTCGGTAACCATTATGATGTTCAGTGAAATCCAACCCAATGGAATTACTGATCTGAGCTGGTTGAAGATGGTGATCAAACCCAGAACTGGAATTGAACCTTGGAAACGGAAGATTCAAGCCATAAAGTAAAGGAGCGACATCGATCTGAGATTGTGAAGGAGGGTTTGAAGCAGCTGAGACGGTAGTACTGGCAGCGAAAGAAGAAGAATTAGAAGGTGCAATAATAGCGTTATGAGTTTGATCTGAAGCTGATGATGATGAAGAAGAAGGACGATGCTTCACACGTTTGTTTTTCCTGCAACCTCCACCTACAGGAACATTCCTCAACGTACCTCCTCGAGTCCAGTATCGTTTGCAGGCTTTACAGAAGTGTCTGGGCTGAGACAAACTGTAATTGTTGTAGTAACAGAACTTGGTGTTTGATGAGTCACATCGAGGACACTTGAGAGCTTCTTGTTGCTGTTGAAGAAGCTCTTGGTTTGGCTTTTCCATAACCCTTTGATGATGAGAAGAAGAAGCCATCGACACCTTTTGATCATCTATCTGCTGCCTCTGCAGCAACAGATCAAAAACATACAAGATGATGAGAAAAGTAAGGAAATGGAAGCGATTCACTGATTAACGAGGCGTTTCTAGGGTAAACTAACTGCACAATGTAGATATTCTCTTCCAAAAGCAAAGCAACAAAATCGAAATGGCCATGTATTTGTCTAATAATTGTGAGAGAGAGAGAGAGAGAGAGAGAGAGAGAGAGAGAACCTGTGGCCACTGTTTAGTGTTTTGAGGGATGAGTACCATTTTCTCATAGTTACCCAACATCTTGATCTCTCAAAGGAATCGTTGAAACAAAGAGTAAACAGACAAAGATCAGGTGGCAACGTGAGCCTTATTACTTGATGGCTTTGAAATGCTATGTATGTTTTTCTATGATGTGGAAAATAATGTGGATAAATAAAAATACTATACAAAGGAGGGTAGCATAATGAGATCGATGAAAATAATAATATGACCTATTTGCTTGTTTTATGTAATAATATACTGCCATGATAAGTCACACATGGAGGAGTCTCATAAATAAAATGAGTTTTATAAGTGTGAAAGACTCTTTCATTTAATAGACTAATTTTTTTGGATAGTGCTATCTTTAAACTTATACTTAAGATATTGACATTTTCATCATTTAGAAAATGGTATTATAAAGAAGACTATTTAAAGAGGGTTCTGATTGATAAAAGACCGAGTTAAGTATTATAAAGTGAAAATTTCTATCCCTATTAAGGTACTTCCACCCAATAAACTAATCTTTTAAAATGAATTAATTAATGTTCATAGCATATACTTATTAGTGGTTAATTAAATTTTGGTATAGATTCACGTGATAAGTCTGATTAAAGATGGAAATTGGGGTATTATTATAATGGGTTCTTCAGAATATTGACAGCAATATAAGAGGGACATTCGAAATCGGAGAAGAGGACAGAGAGATAGAGCATAAATTAATGATAAATCTTGATTTGTTCAAGACAGAGAAAAGCGAGAACCTTAATAAACATAACGTAACATTCCTTTGTACACAGAGAGAATCAGAGACATGTATAGGTAAATATAACAGAGGGAATCCCTAAGAGCTCAATACCCAATGCAATAATACTACTTCATCGATCAAATCTCACTTCCACACTTTAGTCTAATTATAATAAAGCACTCTAAATTTCTATCTACATATGTCCGCAAAAAGATTTCATGAAAAGCATCACATCTTGAAAGATTGAAATTTCCATGCTGTATCCAAAAATATGTCTATATCATGATTAAACTCAAATTGTGAGAAAATAAATAATATTAGACCCATTTATCCATGCGTTATATTTTAGAATTTATGAATTAAGCTGCATGATACTGTCGTTGCTGAATGTTTGTAAATAGTACCCTTCACTATAAATTTTATATTATTTTTTCATATTATTTTCGTATATTCATGCAGATTTGCAGTAATATATTTCTGTACATTACATGAAATCATTCACATAATTATAATAAGTGTTTACAGCAATTTAACTTTTAAACTATATGTATAGGAACATCTAGGATCATAGACTCATTTTTTGTACAACATTCTTCTTCAACTTTTTAAAATAATAAAATGTCGCTTAATATGAAAATTATAGAAAATAACCTTAAAACTATAGAAAAAGGACCAACAAAATTAAAGAAAAGGACCAAGTCCTTGGTCTTGATCCTTTTGAACTTGGTTATTTTTCTATAATTTTTAATCAATTAATGATTAATTTAACATTTGTTAATGATGAGGCAAAAATTACACCACTTAAAAAAATTAAAAGAAAATATTACATCAAAAACAAGTTCAAAATTACATATGCTCAATCATATAGTTTATGGACAAGTTTGTCATTTAACCCTTATTACAATAATTGGAGCAACAAATGACAGATAAACTGTGTACCTTGCAGTAGGGTACAAATTTTCTCATCAATAATCAAAGGGATGAGAAAATTGGAACAAAAATTGAGGAAAGATTTCAGCATATAATACTTATAAAGCAACAAAGAGGTTTAGTTATTGTATATTGTTTTGAGCAGACTTTGTATGCAAGAGGAGATACAGGGTGAGAAAATATAACGTGCTAACAAGGAATTAATAAGAAGTGAGAGAAGAATTAATAGATTATTTATTTATACTTGAGGGAATGAAATTAGTTCCAAGTGAAATGGACAAAAAAGGACCATGTGAGAGTATCTATATCTCAAGACTAGAACATAGGAAGAACACGCTTTGCTGTTGGGGGCCTCCTCTTCTTGTTTGTTACTTTCCTCTCCCTTGTGAATTTTGTTTTTGCTTTTTATTTTTATTTTTATTTTTTTGTCCAATAAGAGACAATCAACCGTTAATGGGTGTCCAGAGGGGAGAGAAAGAGAGAAGAGAGAGGGGCAAATGACAATGAAGGGCACTGATCTGGCACTGATTACAGTGAAGTCCTTTAAAAATGAACATCACATCCCCCAAAGTATTAAAATATCATAGATTTAATTGTTGATAAAATATATTACACATATATTATTAAAATAAGGTTTGTTGGTGTCATTGATAACTTTCTCAAAACTCGAATAATAAGTAAGGTCAGCTTTGAAACATGACTGTTTTTCAAGGTGGTTATATTTTGTTCTTGAGTAGGAATTTACCAATTTGTATTAGCTTCATGATTGCTGATACAATTCATAGGTACATCAATAAAAAATTTTAAGGACGTTATTATGAGATCTTCTTGATACTTTCATGCATGTTTTAGTCTGTGTCCTTATATAAATAATTTTCAACTTTTTATGAATTCAATATAAAATTTAAAACCAATAACATGAATTATCTCACGTTTTATAAAATGTTTAAGAATTTCAACCAAAATTTCGTGGACCCATGGAAGAAATTTCTTGACACTTTTTTTTTTTAAATTATATTGCTCCCATATATTCTTCTATTAAAGGTAATTTTATTCAATGTATGATTGAATATTAAATATCAACACATTTTTTGATGAGGATGATTTAAATCTTAATTTATTATATTATAATGAATTAATCCTTTTTGTTAAGCCTAATTTTGACCCATTGATAATTTTGTGACACCTTTATTTGTAATGGATTGCACCCATCATATATAAAATCAATTCGTAATCAACTTTTTAAAAAATTTCCTTGGTAAATTTGCTTTTGTTTTTTGTGGTACAGTAATTTAATATAAAATATGGGTTCTCTTTAGAATTTTTCCCAATTAAGAGATAGTGCCGTGAGGTACAGAAACAGTAGCATGTGTGGGCAGCTCAGCTGAGAAGGGAAAAAGATAAAAAGAAGAATAAAGGAAAAGCAGGGAGATGATGAAGAGGGAACAAAAGGATTTTGTAGTCTCCCAAGGGATCTTCTCTATCTTCCCTCCCTATACAAAACTCCTATCATTATTGTCTTAACTTTTCTATTTGGTGATTAATTAAAATATTTCACTCTTCAACCTCATTTAATTAATTAATTAATTAATATATCTCGTAAAGAGGTAAGCTTGTACAAATGTTTTAGGTAGTGTTTAGATTGATAAATTTAAATTAAATTTAAAATTTAAATTTTTATATTTTAAATCTTATATTTTAAATTTATGTATTTAAAATTATTTTTTTGAATAGTTTAAAAAACTTTAAATAAAAAGGAGAAATAAGATAATATTCAAAAAGGAAACAAAATATTAAAAATAATAAATTTATTTTTATTTTAATCAACAAAGATGAAAAAAGATATAGAAGTTATAAAGATATTAATAATAAAATAAAAAGAGAATGAAATTTTTAAAGTAATTAAAATTTTAAATAAATATGATGTAAAGAAAATTTAAAATTATAAAAAAATAATAAAAATGGATTTAAAATAAATTTAAAATTAACTGCCCATCAGTCAAAAACATTATTAAAGTAAATGTTGTAGTACTTTTTTACTGGAGGCCGGCGGTGAAATAGGTTTGGAATATTAATTATTGACTTTTCTATTTCCTCGTTCACGCACCGTAAGTCATAATTTTTGAACTGTTTTCATGTGAGTGGAAGCCTGTATAACCTCGCACCCAATTAATGCTCCTTTGTCTCTGAAAACTATCTAATCTCATAATCTTGCAAAAATTGCATTTAAAAATAATAATTACAAAATTTAATATTCTAAAAATATTTTAATAATGATACTTTTAAAACCATCGCTTGTATTTTTTTTTTAAACTATAATTAAGTTGATATTTCAGACACTGCTTCATCACTTCCGAAAAAAGTGGTGAGTTTTAATCATTTTTCCATAAAGAAAATACACAGCTATATCTTTGCAAAGTATAGATAATTAAATAACTTCTATAGTAAAATATTTCTATTAAAAATAATTTTAGGTGGAATAAATTACATATTTTTAGCTCATATCTTCTGTAGAAACCTTGTCAGTGTTATAAGGGCTTCATAATCGGCTCCTCTTTTTAATCTATTGAAAGTATTTAATATTTTCTTTTTAATAATTGAAAAACAATTAAATTACATGTTGGTAGCTATTATAACTTGAAATTTAGTAATAATTAAACACTTCAACAATGAATTAATCATTTTAGGTTAATTAAGCTTCGTAAGAGTTAACATTGAAGAAACATCCTCGGGCATCACACTATTAAATGATCAATTTTTTTATTTTTTTTATTTTTTGGTACCAAAGTAGGTGAACTTTGTCTTGAGTAATTATCATAACATAGATTCTTTTTACCAAAAAATTAGAAAACACAACCAAGGATCGGTTAAGCTTTTTATAACGAACTTTTAATTCTAATTCTAATGGTAAAAAAGCTCGATCTCTCAAAGTGGATAAACTCTCCATAGCATAATCGTTACAACTTTCATGTGATAATAATTAAATTGAATTATGACTTTCCAACCAACTAGTTAATTACTATTACCTGCTCAGAGTGAATAGTTTAATTAATGTTTTCACCATATAATGACATGCTAAAATGATGGTTGAAGTGATTGTTTTGATTATTTCTTTGCAAATGTTCAACCATAAATGATTATGATAATAAGCCAATGAAAACTTGATACGTCAATCCTTTTGACATTAATTTAAGCACACGCTTATTATTATATATATAATTTCTTTTACAAATTATCTATAGTATCATATTTTTTTGACTAATCCAAGTTTTAGTCCAGCTAAGCCCCAATAGTTAGAAGAAAACTCTTCTAATTTTTTATCCATAAGGCTCATGCTTTAAACTTTGCTTAAATGATATCGGCAATGACATGATTCTAATTTTTTTTTTTTGAGCAAAAGACATGATTCTAATTTGAGTCGTGTGAAAAACCTATCTGAAAGGAAACTCTTA